GATCATATTTTATGATCCTGATCTGCAATATATTCAGTGTTAGCTGAAGAAAATGTTGAAATAAATAATAATATTAAAAGTATAATTTTAGAGCATGAATTTTGGTTAAATCTTAAAAAGCTATGTGACTTTTTAGAACTATTTATTGTTTTTATACATCAATTGTAAAGTGATAAGCCATATCTTTCTTTGACTTATAAAAATTTGCAAGATTTAAAAAATACTATTATAAATAATTCACAAGTTTTAGAAGAATTGCATAATGAAGCTTTGCAAGCTGCTAGAACTCGATGGGTTAATATTTTATATAATTTAGCAATTATCGTTGTATATACTCTTGATTCAAAGTATCGGGGCACTGATCTTGATTTTGAAACATGGGCAGATATTATTAATACAGAAATAATTCGAATTGCTAGTATTGGTAATGAAGATCAAGCTTTAAATGAATTATTTGAGTATCTTGGTAAATCAGAAGGATTCGCAAAACAATATTTATAGAATAATCTTATTTCAAAACCAATTAATTGGTAGAACCTATTAAGTATACAATATCCAATTTTAAGTCAAGTTGCACAAAAAATTCTATCTATTCTAGCAACATCACCATCTAGTGAACATAATTGGTCATCTTATAGGTTTATCCATTCTAAATTACATAATAGACTATTTTCCAAAAAAGCAGAAAAACTTCATACATATATTGGAATACAAGAATTCTTCACCAATTAAATAGGTCTATATTAATTAAAGATCTACAAAATAATTCAGCCGAAGAAACTTATAATGGTGACTTTTTTTTTTGAATTTAGTTTAATATAATATATAAAGTGCATTAATCATTATACTACTTGGTAATATTAATTTAGATAACCAGGAGCTAAGTAATTCAGATGACGATGTATTTGAAGAAGATAATCTTGCAAATTTTTCTAACAGAGTTCTTAATATGTTTGAAAATGATAAGTATGATAAATTTGATAATTATTCGATTACTTAAACTAACAGATATTTTTTCTTTGTATTTTTGTTTACTACCAAAAATTATTGATTTTCATGTTCTTATATTGCTATCACTTCATGTTTTTTTTTTTGCTTATCGTTCAAAATTCAAAAAATTTTATTATTTTGTATTTGCTTTATTAGATGCTTGGATTTCAGTTAGTGCTTTCAATTTTGTTAAGTAATAGTTTAAAATAATCAATTCACAAAAAAAATTATATGTTCACAAAATCTCTTATATAGATAAGAAAAAAAAGTACAATGAAGTTAGAAATTGAGATACACTATTATGAATTGGATATTCATTTTTATATTTGCAATTTTATATAAATTTTATTATAAAATTAAAATAGAGAAAATATGTATCAAGAATGTATCTTTAAACTAAATTATCCAAATTCCGCATGAATAATACTGACCAAATTTTTGTAATGCTGGTGCTTGATATAAAATGTAATTAAATTTCATGAAATTTGATTTACTGTAACTTACGTAAAATTACAAGTAATATAAGATTGTAATTTTTGTAACAACTCTATTTCCGATTGGTAATTCAAGCCTGGATTATAATGCTAACCAGAATTATGCCAGCTGGCCTGAATTATGAAAATTGCACTGCGCAGTCTCAAAAAATACCTGCACAGTATCTCATCTCAAGATATAGTAGTAACTTCTCAAAACCTGATAAAATAAACTTATTACTAAGTTAAATTTTTTAAATGAATGAGAATTAGATCTTATTTTGGTTACGGAGTCCTACAGCTCTAATAAAACCTTTTATACAGCTTTTTTTTTATTTCATTTTCAATTTTTTTTAAAAAGTACTCTAAACCATTTAAATAATCTAAAATTAAATTGAATTTATTAGTCAATCAGAAAACTTCTGCATATGAGACAGAATATTTCAGAATAGAGTTCCAATCCAAATAAATCATCATCAATTTATTCATACGAGTGCATGAGTGTGTGAGAGTGAAATCCAGGAAATAATTTCATGATTTATTATGATTGGGTTATTCTCATATCTAAATTTATCTAGTGTGAGTGGTAGGATGATGACGTCGGAAGCTCGGTTAGGCAGGTGGTCGATGTGGCACAACATTATGTCGATCATCTATCTAAAAAGGGCTTTTACCAGCAGTATACACTGTATTTGTGGTATACCTAATGACGGGTAGATAATGTATATCAGTGTAATAAGGGGATCAAAGAGATACTGTGCATAATTATAATAATCAGTACGAACGTTATAAACAGTATAAGCAATATAATCGATATTATTAATATAAACATTACTGTCAGTATAATTAATATAAGTATTATAAGTAGTATAAGCGATGTATCACAAATAGAGGATATAACATGCTCTATGTAAATGAAAGTATATAATAAAGGCTTCGAGCCCTACAAGAACAGTTCAGTTAGTGCTTATCATAAGACCTGTCCCTAACTAATTACCTATTTACACTGCATAATAATATCTATGAACATAAATACTCCACTCTCCAAATCTAACTGCCTCTTTTCGACTAAGCTGTTCGTAGGTTACACAACGTACTCGATCGACAAGCGACTGACTCGCCGTTTCACTTGTGTCACTGGCAAGTCTCCTTCCGGGTCTACCCTTGCTACCAGATGTTTAAACTTCGCCATGTATGCATCCACCTTCTTGTCTCTTCGTTGTTGAAGATTATTCAGTTCTATCTGCCAACGGTGCTGCTTTTCTGATGTCGCAAAGAATTCTATAAATGCATGATAAAAACTCTCTTCTTCGTTATCATCATTTTTCCATGCTTTCAACTGCTCTTTCTTTCCCTTGTACCAGTCTGCCGCCAGACCTTAAAGATATCCAGAAGCAATCTTCAACATCCTAATTTCGGACCAATTGTTAGCCATGGCGGCCCTTTCAAACGACTCCAACCATTTGATCAGATCTTCGTCATCATTGCCATAGAAGGGGACAATTTTCACATGCGTTAGCTTCCTCTTGTCTTCAGGGTCCTTTTTGGAGTTAGAAATGGTAGTTGCGACTTGGGCGAAAGATGTGGTTAAACTGTCCAGGAGTTTCTTCAACTGGTCCTTGTTCATACTGTCTTTAGTGGGGATGTATCTTTTTAACTGTATAGTTATAAGGGAGGGTATTTTCAAGTACTAATGTAAAAATTCGAATTAGGAGGAAGGGGGGGTAGCTAACATTTCGTATCTCACAGTCACTACCAAAATGACACAAGCGAAATGGCAAGTCAGTTGCTTGTTGATCGAGTACGTTGTGTAGCCTATGAACGGCTTAGTCGAAAAGAGGTGGTTAGATTTGGAGAGTGGGTTATTTATATTCGTAGATATTATTATGCAGTGAAAATAGGTAATTAGTTAGAGACAGGTCTTATGGTAAATGTTAACTGAACTGTTCTTGTAGGGCTCGAAGCCTTTATTATATACTTTTATTTATATAGAGCATGTTATATCCTCTATTCATGATACATCACTTATACTACTTATAATACTTATATTAATTATACTGACAGTAATGCTTATATTAATGATATCAATTATATTGCTTATACTGTTTATAACGTTCGTACTGATTATTATAATTATGCACAGTATCTCTTTGATCCCCCTTATTATACTGATATACATTATCTACCCATCATTAGTATACTACAAATATAGTGTATACTGTCAGTAAAAGCCCTTTTTAGATAGATGATCGACATAACGTTGTGCCATGTCAACCACCTACCTAACCGAGCTTCCGACGTCATTATCCTACCACTTATACCGAATTCCTATGTCATTAGAATGTTCTTGAGTAGACTTCATGATAAGACCCTGACCTTTGTTGCCATTTCCGAACCTGAAATGTTGGAAGAAGCAATTGTCAGTGCCCGGAGGATTGAAGGGGCGAATACTATAGCATGCAGACACAGAAGAAAGGCCATCAAAAAAACCTGAAAGAAGAATTAGGATAATTAACTAAGAAAATTGAGCAAATCGCACTAAATTATGCTGCCTTCAACTAACAGCATCCCAAAGAGCCTCGTGGTGATAGGTAGAGAAACAGTAAGGACCAAGAAAGGTGTCGGGAACCTAGGAAGGACTTCGCATGTTATAATTGTGAAAAAACCGGCCATATTGCTCATAGTTGTCTATCTAAAAAAAAGCCTAGAAGAGACTACATAAAAAAACAAGTTAGTAATTACGTAAAGGAAACGAATGAACGATATGACGAGGGTTGGGAAGAGGATGAAGTCTATGCCTTAAACGAAAATAGATACCAACCGTATAAAGGAAATAAAAGAAAAACGCTGCAAGCCCAATCCAAATTGCAGTGAGAAAGTAGAATAAGAAGTCACCCAAATACCAACCAACCACTTGTAGACTTAGACAGAGATGTTGAAGCTATGAAAGAAGACGAATTCGTATTAACAAGAAAGCCTAGAAGAAAGCGGAACCCTTCGGTAATTGACAAGTTGACCCCCTATGATATCGCAGAAGATATAATGAATGCCCTGGCTCGTGTAACTATAGGCTAGTTGTTGCAGTACCCCAACTAGCAATGCCTTTTGGCTCAAGCCCTGCGAAGACCTTTACCACCCATCCAAGAAGCAAGCCATATGAAATTCGAAGACGATAGAAAGACAACAGCAGCATGCTGTTATATTAGAATTTGCAGTAACCTGGTTGTTGTAGTGTTAGACTCTGAGGCAGCTGTCAGTATCATGACCAAGAAGCTGGTCGATAAGTTAGAACTCCGTATACAGGTGAAGTTGTCCACTGTCGTAGTTATGGCTACAGGTGCTAAGACAAGGGCATTAGGAAAAATTAACGATATAAAGATAGTAATCCAAGATGCGATAATCCACAGCACCCTATAGACGATAGAATCCTCAGACGAAACTTTACTTCTAGGGACCAATTGGTTTCAAAAAGCCAAAGCCCGCCTCCATTTTGATGAATGCCGATTAATTCTGAAACACCAAGGCTAAACGATTGAGATGCGCATATCTCATACCAGTACAGAAAACCTAAGGGAACCCCGAAAGGACAATTGGGAGAAGAGTAGTAGTGATATGTTTGATGAATTCACCTATGAAAATGAGAAATTGGATGAGATTGATGGGTACTACACTGTAAAGTCTTCTGATAATGAAACCGATCTATACGACAATCTGTGGAAGGATGAAGTCAGTCCAGCAATATATTTAACATTAGTTGAGGAAGTACCTGCTGAGGAGAAAAAAGAGAAAACTGAACTTACCCTAAAAGAATGATTGGAAGAAGTTGTACAAGCAAATACATTAAGTGGAGAAGAAAGGGAAGAGGCCCACATCTTCTTCAAAGAAGAGAGCTGCTTGCTCACGATAGGTTTCGACAAGTTGGGAATGACTAACCTTATGACCCACCACATAGATACTGGTGACGCTAAGCCGATTAAGTAGCATTTTTACAGGACGTCCCCTGACGAACAAGAATTCTTAGACAAGGAGCTAGAGTCATTGAAAAGATAGGGGTTGATTAGAAAGTCCGAAAGTCCATAGGCGTCCCTGGTCATGATCATTCCAAAGAAGGGTGGTAAGTTGCCCATGTGTATAGACTATCGACGATTGAATTCAGTAATGAAAAAGGACACATATCCACTGCCACACATCGATGATCTGTTGGAGACATTTAGAGAGGCAAATTGGTTTACGAGTTTGGACCTTAGGAGTAGTTATTGGCAGGTAAGGATGAATCCAAGTGACCAGGAAAAGACAGTATTTGTAACTAGGAAGAGATTGTATGACTATATAATGCACCCGCAACATTCCAGCATTTAATGGATAAGGTGTTGGTGGAATACATAGGAAAGTTCGTGATGGTATATATCGATGATATCAATGTATACTCCAGAATGTTCCAAGAACACTTGGACCATCTAAAGAGAGTGTTTATAAAATTAAATTTAGCAGGTTTGAAAATTAAGCTGGAAAAATGTAGCTTTTTCAAAACAAACCTTCAGTTCTTGGGCCATGTTGTTGGGTGTAATGATATCCGACTTGATGAGATGAAAATCGACAAAGTAAGACACTACCCCATACCCAAGACCCCTCGACAATTAAGAGCTTTTATAGGACTAGCATTCTATTATCATCGATTTATCAGGGGTTTCGCGACCATCGCACAACCTTTACATAGCCTGTTAAAGAAGAATGTTAAATATGAATAGACTAGCGAACAACAGATAGCCTTTGAAAAATTAAAAACATACCTAACCACGGCCTCTGTCCTAAGGTACCCAGACTTTGCAAAAATATTTTATTTACATACGGATGCATCTGGCACAGGATTAGGTGCGGTGTTAGTACAGAAGGGAGAAGACAGCAAGGAGTATGTGATCTCGTACACTAGCAGAGGGTTGTCATGGGCGGAAAAGAACTACTCAACTACAGAGCAAGAGTGTCTTGCCATACTGTGGGCCATCGAGTATTATCACCATTATTTCGGGTTTAGGCCATTTGTGGTAATAATCGACCATGTGTCGTTAAAGTGGCTCCACACTTCAAAGTTAAATGGATGACAGGCCAGGTAGATTATATGGTTGCAGCTCTACAATTACACCATAGAACACCAGGCTGGTAAGAAACATAATGATGCAGATGCACTTTCATGCCAGCATGACTCCCGGGAAGTCAGTAGTAACAACTTAGAGATAGATAACAACGCCCAAAAGTGTAGAGAGTGGTTATTGTCATTAGTAGAATGTGAAGAGTATTTAGACGAAATAGAACCAGGTGAGTATACCGGTTGGAGCGTTGAAGAAATAGAACTGACAGCACATGACGATGGGAATAGGACGATAGTGAATAGATTGATAACACTTCCCAAGAAGAGGAAACGTGGTGAGACATCGATGAAAAGTATGAAGGGTATATGGTGTTAGAAGAAGTTATCGACAAAAAGAAGAAGAATGTAAAATTGGAAGAATGCGTTGCATTGAAAAATAACTTACTGGTACGTGTGGTCTCTTTTGAAAAGGATAGATATGGAACTAAGGATGAACACCTAACGGGGTTCCAAAAATTATCGATGGGGTATCGAATGAGCCTACGCTTCACTCACCTAACTAGATCCTATGATAACGTATACTATATGTATGCCCACCCGACCGAATTCGATCACTACACTCTAGAAATACTGAATCGGAGGAAAACTATTTACATGATGCAGCATTGTGGTTATTGTCTGTTAGCACATGACCCCTGAAACTTGTTGGTGCTACGAGAATGAATTGTTGATAAAGCATGACAAGAGTTAGCTTGAAGGGAATACTTGTACAGCACTGGAGTTGAATTAGGGTATACCGAGCCACTAAACAAAGACGCTATTAATGCTGATAGGAATGCACACCTGGGAAGAAATTGCAAAGTAATAACTGTACAACCACTCAAAACCGATAACAGGCCCTCAAGGTTCAATTATGAACCAAATTGACTAAAGCTGAAAGTAATGCAGTTAACCACCATTAAAGAGAAAACCACCTCGAGAAACACATAAGCAAAAGTTTTAGACACCAAATAAAAGTAAATCCAACGATAAATAATATTCAGACCAGGTTGTTGGTGTCCTGGCAAATAAATAAAATTTTGTTACTACAAAGGAACGCCCCTCAAACAAATAAATAGGAAACAACACTTATCTGATCGATTAAACCCTTCCCGAAAGAGAGAAACCATGAACCCAATGCTGTATAGTAGGATAAAGCAATACATGCATAATCAGTACCTGTCCCCAAATTTAGATGAAGTACAGAAGAACAAGATAGTAAAACTAAGTAAAACTATATGGATGAAAGAAGATATCCTCTATAAGCCCAACCTGCATTATCTTGACAGATTGATCAGGATGGTACAAAAACCTGAAGTTGACGCTGTCCTGCTAATAACATATAACCATCCAATGGGAGGCCATTTCGGAGCAGAGGTGATGTTTGAAAGATTAGGGGCATATACTACTGGCCTAGAATGTTTGATAACATAAAAGAATATGTTAAAGCATGCGACAAGTGTCAACAAAGAGGCAAAAGTAAACTAAAAGGTCCACTACATCCCATACCGGTATCGGCCCCATTTTACCAGGTTGGAATTGACATCATCAGCCCTTTACCCATCACACCAAGGTCCAACCGTTACATTGTTGTGGCCACAGATTATATGACCAAGTGGCCTGAAGCTAAGGCAATCCAATTCGTAAACGCCCAAGAAGTATCTAATTTCATCTTCGATGAAATTATCTGCCAGCATGAGTGTCCAGAAAAGTTGCTATCGGATCGAGGAACCCATTTCCTCAATCACATGGTGGATTGATTATTGGAAAAGTTCTGTATTAAACACTTGTTGTCTACGTCATATCATCCACAGACGAATGGATTGGTGGAACGGTTCAACAAGACATTATGCGAGGCTATTGCAAAAACAATAAAAACAGTCAATGATTGGGATCTAGTCATACTGGCAATCTTGTTTGTGTATCAAACTACAAGACACTTGACAACAAAGATCACGCCATTCTTCCTGGTGCATGGACATAATGCACGGTTACCCATTGAACCAAGGGAATTAGCTAACGAAACGATAGTATGTAGAACAATAGAACTTATTGAAAACTTACCCTACGTTCGTAACTCTGCCGTCGTACGAGTACAGCAGACACAGATGAAAATGAAGAAGCGGCACGACAAACAAATCGGTACAAGCCCCAAACTTGAAATTGGCGATAAGGTCTTGGTGTATCAAGTGACACTAAAAGGTCGTAGAAGCGGGAAGTTTGACCCGGAATGAAAAAGGCCGTATTACGTACATGAGGTACTTCCTAAAAATGTATTTAAATTAAGAACTATAACTGGGAACATTATAGCTTCACCCATCAACATTGGACTACTAAAAAAGTATTACGATCAACAAAATGACCAATGAAGAAAATACACGAATGGACAATTAGTAGAGTATGTTACAAAAAAAAAAATAAAAAATTTTTTAGAGGAAAAGACGAAAGGTATAAAAAGGAAAAAGCGTGTGAGGACTTTTTGATCAAATATCATTAACTTTTAACCATGCTGAGTTTAAATGAAATCATTGTTGACATCATGGCCCATGTGCCCGACGACACTGAAATTACCCCACCGCCATTTAACGAATCACATGACCTCGTGACCGCAGTTACTTTAACCTACCCATTGTTGTCTCGAGCCTTGCGACTAAGGGATAGGGTCGAGACCTTAGTATATGCATATTATATAGGCATGCTTTTTGCTAATGTCACCAGTGATCAAAAAACATGAATGCGCAGGGCAGTAATGCCACATTATTACCTTACGGCCATAAAAATCTACGACATTTTTGTCTCTCGTGGTGTTTGTCAAGTTTACGGAACCTCGAAAGTGACCTTTCAAGACTTTAGGCGGATGACGAGTGAACAAGCCCGGCGGCTTGCTTGGTGAAGTTCGTGGGACTCACCTCGAGTTGGGGAGGAATGTGAGCGGTAGGATGATGACGTCGAAAGCTCGGTTAGGCAGGTGGTCGACGTGGCACAACGTTATGTCGATCATCTATCTAAAAAGGGCTTTTACCGGCAGTATACACTGTATTCGTGGTATACCTAATGACGG